CATTCCTTCAGCTCGTCTAGGTCTTCTTGAAGCCTTGTGTGTGTGTGTGTGTGTGTGTGTGTGTGTGTGTGTGTGTGTGTGTGTGTGTGTGTGTGTGTGTGTGTGTGTGTGTGTGTGTGTGTGTGTGTGTGTGTGTGTGTGTGTGTGTGTGTGTGTGTGTGTGTGTCTGTCAGTACAGCCAACTCGGTGCGGTTGGTAAGCTTCTTGTTTGTTGTATATACAAATTTATATGATGCTAATTTTGTGTAGCTGGACATCTGCGTATGTTCCCAGGGTGTATATATATACGTAAGAGTATTTTTCTGTTGGTTTTCTGTACTCTGTGTTGAGTTATATATTATGTGTAGTGTTAGTACTGTGAGTTGACCTATGGTGTCAGCCAGCAGTACTAGGGCCCCTAATCCAGGAAGGGTGCCAAAAGCTCTAGGGGCCCCTTAACCCAGGAGGAGCTCCAGAAGCTTCAGCGCTCCTAATCCAGGAGGAACTCCAGAAGCTTCAGGGCTCCTAATCCAGGAGGAACTCCAGAAACTTCAGGGCTCCTAATCCAGGAGGAACTCCAGAAACTTCAGGGCTCCTAATCCAGGAGGAACTCCAGAAACTTCAGGGCTCCTAATCCAGGAGGAACTCCAGAAGCTTCAGGGCTCCTAATCCAGGAGGAATCCAGAAGCTTCAGGGCTCCTAATCAGGAGGAACTCCAGAAGCTTCAGGGCTCCTAATCCAGGAGGAGCTCCAGAAGCTTCAGGGCTCCTAATCCAGGAGGAACTCCAGAAGCTTCAGGGCTCCTAATCCAGGAGGAACTCCAGAAGCTTCAGGGCTCCTAATCCAGGAGGAACTCCAGAAGCTTCAGGGCTCCTAATCCAGGAGGAACTCCAGAAACTTCAGGGCTCCTAATCCAGGAGGAACTCCAGAAGCTTCAGGGCTCCTAATCCAGGAGGAACTCCAGAAGCTTCAGGGCTCCTAATCCAGGAGGAACTCCAGAAGCTTCAGGGCTCCTAATCCAGAAGGAGCTCCAGAAGCTTCAGGGCTCCTAATCCAGGAGGAGCTCCAGAAGCTTCAGGGCTCCTAATCCAGGAGGAACTCCAGAAGCTTCAGGGCTCCTAATCCAGGAGGAACTCCAGAAGCTTCAGGGCTCCTAATCCAGGAGGAACTCCAGAAACTTCAGGGCTCCTAATCCAGGAGGAACTCCAGAAGCTTCAGGGCTCCTAATCCAGGAGGAACTCCAGAAGCTTCAGGGCTCCTAATCCAGAAGGAGCTCCAGAAGCTTCAGGGCTCCTAATCCAGGAGGAACTCCAGAAGCTTCAGGGCTCCTAATCCAGGAGGAACTCCAGAAGCTTCAGGGCTCCTAATCCAGGAGGAACTCCAGAAACTTCAGGGCTCCTAATCCAGGAGGAACTCCAGAAGCTTCAGGGCTCCTAATCCAGGAGGAACTCCAGAAGCTTCAGGGCTCCTAATCCAGGAGGAACTCCAGAAGCTTCAGGGCTCCTAATCCAGGAGGAACTCCAGAAGCTTCAGGGCTCCTAATCCAGGAGGAACTCCAGAAGCTTCAGGGTTCCTAATCCAGGAGGAACTCCAGAAACTTCAGGGCTCCTAATCCAGGAGGAACTCCAGAAGCTTCAGGGCTCCTAATCCAGGAGGAACTCCAGAAGCTTCAGGGCTCCTAATCCAGGAGGAACTGCAGAAGCTTCAGGGCTCCTAATCCAGGAGGAACTCCAGAAGCTTCAGGGCTCCTAATCCAGGAGGAGCTCCAGAAGCTTCAGGGCTCCTAATCCAGGACTAACTCCAGAAGCTTCAGGGCTCCTAATCCAGGAGGAGCTCCAGAAGCTTCAGGGCTCCTAATCCAGGAGGAACTCCAGAAGCTTCAGGGCTCCTAATCCAGGAGGAACTCCAGAAGCTTCAGGGCTCCTAATCCAGGAGGAACTCCAGAAGCTTCAGGGCTCCTAATCCAGGAGGAGCTCCAGAAGCTTCAGGGCTCCTAATCCAGGAGGAACTCCAGAAGCTTCAGGGCTCCTAATCCAGGAGGAACTCCAGAAGCTTCAGGGCTCCTAATCCAGGAGGAACTCCAGAAGCTTCAGGGCTCCTAATCCAGGAGGAGCTCCAGAAGCTTCAGGGCTCCTAATCCAGGAGGAGCTCCAGAAGCTTCAGGGCTCCTAATCCAGGAGGATCTCCAGAAGCTTCAGGGCTCCTAATCCAGGAGGAACTCCAGAAGCTTCACGGCTCCTAATCCAGGAGGAACTCCAGAAGCTTCAGGGCTCCTAATCCAGGAGGAACTCCAGAAGCTTCACGGCTCCTAATCCAGGAGGAACTCCAGAAGCTTCACGGCTCCTAATCCAGGAGGAACTCCAGAAGCGATCTAAGTTCACATTGCCTACAATTTTTTAACCTGCATCTCAGGTTTAATAAAATTCTAAGATGCAGTGGTTTAATAAACAAAACAGTAATGACCTACGGTGGTCATAACAGCCCCACTGTAGAAAATAACAGTGGTTACCCAGACCTCGTTGCTGGTTGCTACCCCCCCCCCCCTCCATAGCAGACCAAGCTCAAGGTGGAGGAGCCACCAGGTGGCTCTGTGGCCACCATCACGGTGGAGGAGGAGCCACCAGGTGGCTCTGTGGCCACCATCAAGGTGGAGGAGGAGCCACCAGGTGGCTCTGTGGCCACCATCACGGTGGAGGAGGAGCCACCAGGTGGCTCTGTGGCCACCAGGTGGCTCTGTGGCCACCATCACGGTGGAGGAGGAGCCACCAGGTGGCTCTGTGGCCACCATCAAGGTGGAGGAGGAGCCACCAGGTGGCTCTGTGGCCACCACCAAGGTGGAGGAGGAGCCACCAGGTGGCTCTGTGGCCACCATCACGGTGGAGGAGGAGCTACCAGGTGGCTGTGGCCACCATCACGGTGGAGGAGGAGAGCCACCATGGAGGAGGCGCCAGGTGGCTCTGTGGCCACCACCAAGGTGGAGGAGGAGCCACCAGGTGGCTCTGTGGCCACCATCACGGTGGAGGAGGAGCCACCAGGTGGCTCTGTGGCCACCATCACGGTGGAGGAGGACCCACCAGGTGGCTCTGTGGCCACCATCAAGGTGGAGGAGGAGCCACCATCTCCAGGTGGCTCTGTGGCCACCACCAAGGTGGAGGAGGAGCCACCAGGTGGCTGTGGCCACCATCACGGTGGAGGAGGAGCCACCAGGTGGCTGTGGCCACCACCAAGGTGGAGGAGCCTCCAGGTGGCTCTGTGGCCACCACCAAGGTGGAGGAGGAGCCACCAGGTGGCTCACGCTTTGAACCACTTTTCTTATACAATTATTCTGGGTGTTGAATATTCATAGTATATATTAAGTCCAGGAAAGTATATATGCTTTTCAGCCACTGAAACAGGGGACTGTTGATGCGAACTCCGTCCAGAATATTGACAAAGTTTAATTCTTGCTAAGAATAATTATGGTGCCCTTCTAAGCAATCCAATATATATTCGTAATATATAAATGTTATAAATACGTAGGATTGCATACATTTTTTTCAATTTCACATGCAGACGTTTAGGCAGAAAAAAAATACTTTTTGAAGAAAATGTATATTATTTTGTTGAAAGAAAGTTAATATATGAAAGATATCAATATCAAAATACCTAAAAAAGGTATATATAATAAATTTTCCTGTCCAGAATTATTGGCGATTCTGGAGGTTACCGGCTGGAGTAATATCGCGCGGTATCCGGTAAACTAAGACACCGCGAGAGTACGCGGCATTATTCTTAGTATACTGACACACTGATGTATACTTGGGGCCGCTAAATATTGTATAATAGTGTTAGTATCTACGGCGTCAAGGTCGATACCTCCTCCTCCACAGGTCTCTGATCTGAATTCTAAATTTAGATTCCCATTCAAGTGACAGCTAGTGGTCGTCCTTGGTGGTCGTCCTTGGTGGTCGTCCTTGGTGGTCGTCCTTGGTGGTCGTCCTTGGTGGTCGTCCTTGGTGGTCGTCCTTGGTGGTCGTCCTTGGTGGTCGTCCTTGGTGGTCGTCCTTGGTGGTAGTGCCTTGGTGGTGGTCGTCCTTGGTGGTAGTGCCTTGGTGGTCGTCTTGGTGGTCGTCCTTGGTGGTAGTGCCTTGGTGGTCGTCCTTGGTGGTAGTGCCTTGGTCCTTGGTGGTAGTGCCTTGGTGGTCGTCCCTTGGTGGTCGTCCTTGGTCCTTGGTGGTAGTGCCGTCGTCCTTGGTGGTAGTGCTTGATGGTGGTGCCTTGGTGGTCGTCCTGGTGGTCGTCCTTGGTGTCCTTGGTGGTCGTCCTTGGTGGTAGTGCCTTGGTGGTCGTCCTTGGTGGTCGTCCTTGGTGGTCGTCCTTGGTGGTAGTGCCTTGGTGGTCGTCCTTGGTGGTCGTCCTTGGTGGTCGTCCTTGGTGGTCGTCCTTGGTGGTCGTCCTTGGTGGTCGTCCTTGGTGGTCGTCCTTGGTGGTCGTCCTTGGTGGTCGTCCTTGGTGGTCGTCCTTGGTGGTCGTCCTGGTGGTAGTGCCTTGGTGGTCGTCCTTGGTGGTCGTCCTGGTGGTAGTGCCTTGGTGGTAGTGCCTTGGTGGTCGTCCTTAGTGCCTTGGTGGTCGTCCTTGGTGGTCGTCTTGGTGGTAGTGCCTTGGTGGTCGTCCTTGGTGGTCGTCCTTGGTGGTAGTGCCTTGGTGGTCGTCCTTGGTGGTCGTCCTTGGTGGTCGTCCTTGGTGGTCGTCCTTGCCTTGATGGTCGTCCTTGGTGGTCGTCCATTGGTGGTCGTCGTCTTGGTGGTAGTGCCTTGGTGGTCGTCCTTGGTGGTCGTCCTTGGTGGTCGTCCTTGGTGGTCGTCCTTGGTGGTCGTCCTTGGTGGTAGTGCCTTGGGGGAGACTCACCTTCAGTGTGGGGTGCTCACTGGTGGCCTCTTGATGTGCCACTCCGTAATAACCTGACCTACTAACCCAACAAGACAGGTATACGCACCCAAGCAACCCACTCAACCCGTCGAGTCCTAGTAATAGAACACTTCTATATTTGTGAGGCGTTACTTTTCATAAAAGGTTGCATTTTTAACGTTGGTTACCATAACGACCAATTAGGTTGTACCGTTGATATGTTGCAGCCTCGTTGGCACCCCCTGTGGGGCTTCCAGTCTAGTTCAGAAGCCTGGACAAGAAATGACAGATATACCTGACCTTGTGTCTCTGTAAGGTGTATACACAGAGACGGGGCCAAGGAGCCGAAGCTCAACCCCCCCCCCCCCCCAGTACACCTAGACAAGTATTTCATAAGTTATGTAACACAGACACTGAGCAACACCAGGTGGTCCAGTGTGAGGGACAGGAGAGCCCGACTCCTCCTCCGCCTCCTCTTCACAGGAGCAAGAAACTTCTGTGTACAAGTTTGGAATTTCAGAAAAGTTTTAAAGTTAAATGTGATGTATATAATGCTTAGTGTGGTGATGACCTCGGTCACACGACACGTCGTGAACAACACCGCTCGTGCACTGGTCATGGAAGCAACCCATTCATACCCATCCTTACCCATCATCACCCATCCTCACCTAACCTCACCCAACCTCACCCAACCTCACTCATCCTCACCCAACCTTACCCAACCTCACGCAACCTTACCCAACCTCACCCAACCTCACCCAACCTCACCCAACCTTACCCAACCTCACCCAACCTCACCCAACCTTACCCAACCTCACGCAACCTTACCCAACCTCACCCAACCTCACCCAACCTTACCCAACCTTACTCAACCTCACCCAACCCCACCCAACCTCACTCATCCTCACCCAACCTTACTCAACCTCACCCATCATTCCATCACCACCCACACCCATCACCACCCACCCCACCCAACCTGCCCCATCACCACTCACCCATCATCACCCATCCTCACCACCCACCCCATCACCACCCATCCCATCACCACCCACCCCATCACCACTCACTCATCACCACTCTCCCATCCCATCCGAGCCATCATCACCGCACCATCAGGTTAATCCCATCACCAGCTACCCCACCACCCCCACCCCACCAACCCCCCACCCCCACCACCCCCCACCCCATCACCACTCACCCCATCACCACCCGGTTCACACCCACCCCATCACACCTGCCCCATCACCACCCGCCCCATCACCACCCATCCCATCACCACCCGCCCCATCACCACCCGCCCCATCACCATCCACCCCATCACCACTCACTCATCACCACTCGTCCCATCCCACCCGCCCCATCATCACCCGCACCATCACCACCCATCCCATCACCACCCACCCCACCACCCCCCCCCCCCACCACCCCCACCCCCACCCCACCACCCGCCCCATCACCCCCCACTCCATCACCACCCACCCCATCACCACCCACCCCATCATCACCCGCCCCATCACCACCCACTCCATCACCACCTGCCCCATCACCACCCACCCCATCACCACCCATCCCATCACCCACCCGCCCCATCACCACCCGCCCCATCACTGTAACTGGGGGGGGGGGGAATGAAGGGAAACGAAAAGGCAAATAGAAAGAAAGAAGTACTGAGTAAGGGTTAAGGGTGAGGAAGGTAAGAGAGGAGGGAGGACTTGGTGAGGAGGTAAGAGAGGAGTGTCGTCAGGTGAGAGGTGAAAGTGGGAGAGAGGCGGAGGAGGAGGAGAGGGAGTAGGAAGTGGTAGAGGTAGAAAAGTAGATAGGTAGAAGTAGAAATTGCTGCCACCATCCATTCTAGTCAGTACATACAAGACAAGGAATGGAACTTGTCTGTATCACAAAATTCTAGTTTGTGATACACTCTAGTTTGCATATTATATCCAAAAATCCCAGCTATAGGAACAGAATTCAAATCAGATTAAAAAGTAAGTGAATCAAATATATGTTTAACATAAGTATTCATCATTCAAGCAATTCAAACTTATTGTTGAAGATTAATACACAAAGATAGTCATTACACAAGAATTTGAGAGTCACCCTATGGCTGTCTGAGGGGGTTGACAGACAGAGTCCCCACCCAGCCGCACAGCCTGACTGGCTGCTGTTCACTGCTGTGCTGTGCTGCTGTGCTGTTCCCCCTATTGCTCTCGAATCTACAGTTCTCTGAGTATTTATGGGGAACCTAGTAGCTAAACTCCGCTCACAAGTAGATAGCCCCAGGCCATCTACCAAGCCGCACCTTAACCAGCGGCTTGTTTGAAGGACACACCCGGCTAGCCGCCTGCAATTATATGAGCTTAGCAGAAACAAGGTCAACTTCACATGACCTGACCTTGGTCACTTGGTGGTCATTAACACTGTAGAGGTGTAACTTTCTGGCCGACAGAATGGCGCCTCTCAAAATCTTGTCTGTGACTCGTATATCTCTATGTACATATTAAATACAAAACACCTTTACGGTGTTACATCACCACCCACCCATCACCACCTGCCCCATCCCATCACCACCCACCCTATCACCACCCACTCATCACCACCCACCCCATCACCACTCACCCCATCACAAACCTGCCCCATCATCACACCCACCCATCACAACCCGCCCCCATCCCACCCCACCCTATCACCACCACCCCATCACCACCCACCCCATCACCACTCACCCCATCACAACTGCCCCATCACCACCCACCCATCACCACCCACCCCATCACCACTCACTCCATCACCACCCTGAAACAAACTAGCTGTTGCAGGAATGATCTAGAATGTTTTATCTCAGACATGGGAGAATGGGAAGCTGGACCCACGTGGGGACCTGACCCAGCAAGGTCGCATCCCTTGGGGGGATTGGCGGTGAAAATAACGGGCGCCTTTGTTCCCAGTTTCGTATAATGAATTATTTTACAGAATTCACTTATTTAGAGAAATTAGTCTTCATTCAAATTGTATAATATTCCTGTTATAGTATCAAGAGTACCCTAATTGTCAGGATAATGAGTTAAGTCACCATCAGTGACGTCACGAGCCAGGACTAGGCTGTAGCGCGGAGTGACCTCGGCGACCTGGCGGTCACAGGTCAGCAGAGGTTCCACATTCAGTAATTCTCAAAGGTCAAATAGTCATTTTGTAAGTGGGAATAGCTCTTCCCTAAGATGCTTGTGTAATTAACTTCAGTTAAAATAATTCAACCAATCTGGATCATTCAGTGCAACAGAGGTTAGTTGTTGAACTTAAGCCTCGCAAGTAACTTAGACTAGGCGGAAGCATACAATGCTCTGGTCTGGGTAGAGAAGCATGTGGGAAGGACAGGGTGGTATCAGGAGCAACCCGGGACAGGTGTCCACTCCACCTCTCCCCAAGACCTTAGCACAAACATCTAGCTGGTCGCCAAAAAGGTAAAGTTTGCTCAGAGTTGGTATAGGGAGTAGGTCAACTCATTGCCGATATAGGTATAAGTCAGGGAGTGTTAAAAAATAGGGAGTGCATTTATTTGGATTTTGGTTTAGATTTTGAATAAATTAATTAGTTAGTAATTTGCATTTTCATTATTTCCATCTTTGTGTATTTACTTGATTTGTCCAGGACCACGTGGGCAGTGTGGCTTATTCTGAGTTGGGCAGATTCTAACACCGAATCAGAATTCATTATTCCCTTTGATTGTAAATTAATTCCACGCTTAACGTAAAAGATAAACCTCCCATATATTACTAGTGGGGATCAAGCCCCAAAGTTATTGATTGGCATGATCGATCCAGACCTCGATCATAGCTCAGCATTACTGGTCTGGTGGTGGCGGCGATAAGGCGACCCTAGGGTTTTGCTAGATGCCTATGTCATGTCATACGGGTTGTAGAATCTTAAGTTGGTCAATCGTCTTAAGACCACGTGGCGTGGAGTCGGCTCTAGTAAAAGTTTGGAGTCCCTTGGTATGGAGAATGGAGATCTTGAGGTTATCTTGAGTTGATTTCGGGGCTTTAGTGTCCCCGCGGCCCGGTCCTTGACCAGGTCTCCACCCAGGAAGCAGCCCGTGACAGCTGACTAACACCCAGGTACCTATTTACTGCTAGGTAACAAGGGGCATTCAGGGTGAAAGAAACTTTGCCCATTGTTTCTGCCTCGTGCGGGAATCGAACCCGCGCCACAGAATTACGAGTCCTCCGCGCTATCCACCAGGCTACGAGGCCCCTAAGTAGAATATCTAAAGTAGAATACGGGTAAAGAGAGGGGTAGAGAGAACAGATATACGAAGGAAAGAACGAATACCCCCCCCCCGTGTTACAACCCACCCCTTCACACACCCGCCCCATCACCACTCACCCCATCACAAACCCGCCCCATCACCACCCACCCCATCACCACCCACTCCATCACACCCACCCCCATTCCACCACTCACTCCATCACCACCCACACCATCACCACCCACCCCATCACCACCTGCCCCATCACCACCTGCCCATCATCAACCCACCCCATCACCACCCGCCCCATCACCACCTACCCCATCACCATCCACTCCATCACCACACACCCATCACCACCCACCCCATCACCACCCGCCCCATCACCACCCGCCCCATCACCACCTGCCCCATCACCACCCACCCCATCACCACCTGCCCCATCACCACCCACCCCATCACCATCCACCCCATCACCACCCACCCTCATCACCACCCACCCCATCACACCCACCCCATCACCACTCACCCCATCACCATCCGTCCTATCACCACCCGCCCCATCACCACCTACACACATCACCACTCGCCCATCACTACCCACCCCATCACCACTCGCCCCATCACCACCTGCCCCATCACCACCCACCCCATCACCACCCTCCCCATCACCACCCACCCCATCACCACCCACCCAATCACCATTCACCCCATCACCACCACCCCATCACCACCCACCCCATCACACCCACCCCATCACCACCCACCCCATCACCACCCACCCCATCACCACCCACCTCATCACCACCCGCCCCATCACCCCCCACCCCATCACCACTCACCCCATCACCACCCACCCCATCACCACCCACCCCATCACCACCCACCCCATCACCACCCACCCCATCACCACCTCACCCCATCACCACCCCATCCCCCATCACCACTCACCCATCACCACCCACCCATCACCACCCGCCCATCACCACCCACCCCATCACCACTCACCCCATCACCACCCACCACTCACCCCATCACCACCCACCCCATCACCACTCACCCCATCACCACCCACCACCATCACCACTCCCCCCATCACCACCCACCCCATCACCACCCGCCCCATCACCACCCCCCCATCACCACTCACCCCATCACCACTCACCCCATCACCACTCACCCCATCACCACCCACCCCATCACCACCCCACCCCATCACCACTCACCCCATCATCACCCACCCCATCACCACCCTCCCCATCACCACCCCACCCCATCACCACTCACCCCATCACCACCCACCACTCACCCCATCACCACCCATCCCATCACCACTCACCCCATCACCACCCACCCCATCACCACTCACCCCATCACCACCCACCCATCACAACCCACCCCATCACCACTCACCCCATCACCACCCGACCCCATCACCACCCACCCCATCACCACCCACCCCATCACCCACCCACCACTCACCCCATCACCACCCACCCCATCACCACTCACCCATCACCACCCACCCATCACCACTCACCCCATCACCACTCACCCCATCACCACCCACCCCATCACCACCCACCCCATCACCACTCACCCCATCACCACTCACCCCATCACCACTCACCCCATCACCACCCACCCCATCACAACCCTTTAACGATCTGTGCAGATCATCGCTCTCCCCTTCCCCTTCCCCTTTCTCCCCTCCCTTCCCCTTCCCTCACTCGTCTTTCCTTCCTTTGTTCCCCTTCCCTCCCTTGTTGACCACCTTCGGTCATAAACCCATTGAGTGTAGGCAAGGGACATTGTCCAACCGTCTCAGGCCATATGTCTTCCTCTTCCAATCCCTTTACTGAACTTCCAATCCTCAATCCTACCCTTCCCCCACCCTCCAATCGTTCCCCTCTTCCCCCTGCAACCCGTCCTCTACTCAAGTCCATTACATTCAGCGGTCGACCCCACAGACGCATTCATAAATTTTTACATGCTGTTCATTCAAAACGGGAATATTCTCATGTATAAATTAATATTATAATATATTAACATATTGTGCATATATAGGCATAGGTTAGGTTAGGTTAGGTGTTTAGGTTCTGTTGGCGATTATTTCTATTTTTAGTGCGTGGGTGAAGCATTTATAGCATTGTGATTCGAACAAAATTCGTCAGTGAAGCATATGTTCCGGATATGTTCGAATATCAGCAGTTGTGAGTCGTGTGTAAACCGCTTTTCATTCATAAACAGGGGGTTTGGCGGGTGCATGGAATCACTTTTGGATCTTTGTTTGGAGGACGGGCTGCCCCCTGCCTTCGCCATGACCAGTGACGAATTCGAGCAGCAGTCCGCTCAGGGCTATCAACCGTAGTCTCAAATTTCGCCTCGGTGCCATAAACTCGGCCTACAACCAGCGTCTTGGGCCTCGAGCGCCAGGTTCCAGGGATGTGGGCGTGGGAACGTTGAAGATTTCTGTCAAGGGAAACAGAACCTTAAGGACAGGCCTACAGCCTAGCCAGGAGCCTTGATTGGTGGAAGACAAAGAGGCCTAGTGGGCGGAGGCTCCCAAGGTAGTGCCAGACGTCCCATTGGCTGGGCCCTCAGACCTAGAGCAAGTTTTTATACTCATTGGCTTAGGCGCCGAAAGGCGGGGCTTAATTGGACTTAGGAAAACTTAGAGGGGAAGGAGCCTGTTCCACTGAGAGAGTTTTAGAAAAAAATATTCCTTAGTGTGCCTTAGGGCTGACTGGAGTATAGGTCAGGTGACCTGAGGGCAGCCATCAACATCTTGGCCAGATTGCAGGTATAATGCAACATGAGTATTTAATGTATAATCGGTATATCATGCCTTTAGGATGTTATATTAGAGTTGGATATATGTTCATATGGTTTAAATATACGTGCCTGTTTCAATAAAGTGAATATTTGATTTAGTGGTATTTAGTTAATTCCCCCTTTGGTTTATTAATGCTGTGTAATTTGTTATATATGTTTATTATGTGCGGTACTGGAAATCCCTCTGTGTTCTTCTCCATTTCAGGGATATTAGAATTACCCCTAAATCCTCAATAAGTAAAGTAAAATTTGTATAAATTAATTCCCAAGATTTATTTACCAATATTCGTATGCCTTGAGTTCCCATGATTATTGAGTTCCTTCCTTCCTGGGAGTTCAGTAATTTAGACACATTCAGGTATGTCAGGGAGAAGGTGGTGGCAGTCGAGTATGTGTAAGTCTAATTTAGTCATAATTAAATTCATAACCTTTTTCATTCTTGCTCTCTCCCCCATTTAATATTTCAGTTTAATAATTAGCTGTAGTTCAGTGAGGGTCGTACTGAGCTGCAAGTAGTGTTGAGCTGGGGTGTTGATTGGAGTAGGGAAGAGAAACAGTT